ATCACATCAGCTTAACTTCAAAACCTGCAGTTTTTCTATTACAATTTCACCCTGCTGCCCTGGGTTAAATAAAAAACCACCACACAAAAAAGCTTGAGGGGAGGGTAAAAGCAATTCTAGTCTAATATACTGCTTTATATCCTGACAACTCTGGACTAGGAAAAGTGCCGAAGTTTGGTCAGAGTTATATAACTGAAATATAAAGATATTTTAATTAAATATATACCTTAAATGGTTTCCAAGAGATTAAGAATAGACTGATCCAAAGAGCAAAGTAATTCACCTATTTCTTTTCATAATCACTGCCAAATATCATCCAAGTCACCATATCTCATGTAAGTTTCTACTATAGTCACATAACTGCTCTCACTGTATCCATTCTGGCCCTATTTGAATCCATTAATCTCACGTGTGCCCTGACTGGTGTGGCTCAGTTGCGTGGGCACTGTCCCGCGAAGTGAAAGATCATGAGTTTGATTCCTGGTCAGGGCACATGCCTGGATTGCAGGCCCAGTCCCAGGCTGGGGTATGTGCAAGAGGTGGCAGATTGAAGTTCCTCTCACACATCAATGTTTCTCTCCCTCTTTCTTTCTCCCTTCCCCTCTCTCTAAAAATAAATAAAATCTTTAAAAAAAAGAGAAATTTGATGTTATTCTCCTGATCACAGGTTCGAAATCCATACAAGAAATAGAAAACTCTCTGGGACTTACCCCTTGCATTTTTTTCTCCAGCCTCATCTGCCATTTAACTTCTCTAAACCTGTTTCCTTACCTATAAAATGTAGATTATATTACTACCTCATCGGATTGTTCTTAAGATAAATGAGATAATTTATGAAAAAGCTTTAGAACAGTATTGGACATAATATGAGCTTAACATACAGTAAAATATTACTACGATGATTATCCTTTTCCAAATCCCCATTCATTCATCTTCAAGGTCCTGTGACATTTCCAGCATGTCTTAGTTCACATCATTTTCTCCATTAGTACTAAAGAGTCAGCTACAAATTAGTCTTATTTTAACTAATGTGCTTTTCTGGAAAGCTCAGACACTACCTGATTCATCCCCTTTTGGAATTTATTTCCAAAAGACATACACACACGCTAAAGAGTTCTCTCTCAGAGGATAAATTCCTTGTGTGCTATAGGAAAGAACACACAGACCTTTAACTTACACTATCATAGAATCTTTGGACTTGACTAGAAATCCATAATACCCTAAAGTTACTTCTGTAAGTCCATGTCAAAACTGAAGCATTTAAAAACCATCTTTTCAGAAGAAATTTTTAAAAAGATGAGACAGACTTACTTGGTGCACACCACATGGGTGATAACATCTCTATGCATGTAACTGCGTTCGTACATGGATGCACTGGGGAGGTTATCAAGATAGACTCTTTCAAACTCTAGAACTGAAAAAAAAATTATTTTTAACAACTGGAACCAAATACTACTTTGTAGTTTATTTAAAATTTTCTAAATTCCATTTTGTGTTTTTATTGAGATTTTCTTTAATTTCTATTCCATGTGTAATGAAAATAAAAATTCAGTGTCTTTTGTCAGTTGTAACTTCTATTATTGCACAGTACTAAATAAACTATTGTTTACTCAGTCACAAGTTCTCAGGTATTATATACATGCTTAACAGTCTCCAGAACTTAGGAACCGAATGGCTTAATACAAAGGTTCCATTCAAACACCACACAAAAACCTGAAAAAGCTTCATGAAAACATCACAACGATCTTCCTAACCAACTATTAATGTTAATTTAAATAAGTCATAAGAGGCCAGCAGCCATCTATAAGATATATCAGTTCATCTTTAAGGCATTAATCCTCTTTGAAGTCACTGATACTGGGTTTTTGAGAGCTGAGAGAATCGTAGGGAATATCCAGTTGGGTGCTTCGGAAGCATTTTCTAGGGGCAAAACATTCATAAGAGTGGTAATCTGAGGAAATATTGATTCCATTATATGAGCTATAAACAATTTTACTAGTAAAAGATGGCATTACATGTGTACCTAATAAAATAACCTAACAATTTTATTTATCCAAATATGCTTATAAAAAGTTGCTAAATAAGCTATTTTAGTTTTTTATAACTATTGTATAGCAGACTCAAAGCTATATCCAATGAAGTACTTTTCCTGTCATTTTTAGTAACAGAATTCACATTTTTATATGAGCATAATGACATCCAGGATATAAGATGGCCTTTCTCACCTTTTCCTGCAGTTAGGTGTAACCTTGTGCCAATGAGATAAAAGTGGAAAATGCTGAGAGTCAAGAAGTCTTCTTCAAAAGGTGTGCCCTTCTTCCCTTCCTCAGTTCTACAGCTTGGAACTTGGATAGGAGCACTGTAATTCTAATACCCGCCTAGGACAAAGATGAGAGCCAGACCCTAGTGATGCTAGGGCAGAAAACTGCAAACCGTCTAGGCTCCTTTGTAGCCTCCATACCAATCCTAGACTGTCTACCTTGGCCCTTCATTTAATGTTACTGTTATTGTAGATTTTTCTGTAATATGCAGTTAATTTAATCCTATCTGATACATATCCCTTTTACTGTTGGTCAGTTGAATTGTTGAACAAATATTTATTGAAGACATGGGCATAAAGAAGAATAACACATAGTCCCTGTCCTTGAGAATCCATCAGTTTAATTAAAGATAAGTGCCATGTAACCATTTATAATGTCTTTCTGAAAATGCATGCGAAAGTCCAATATCCAAAGAACATGTTAAAGGAAAATGGTTCCACTTCTAGAAATTTAAATATATTATTAAACCTGTCCTTTTAGATAAAATCGTCAATATTTTTTTAAAACATTTCATTCACATTTCAAACTTTCAATTTTTTTCAAACTGAATCCACTATTTACTGGTTTAAATACAAAAAGCATCGAATGAAGGGTGAAGATTTTTCACACCTAATAATTTCCATATCTTTCTCAATTGTATTAAGTTTCTAAGACCTTTGTCTCCTAACACTAATATCAGCACTTTGACGTTTTTAGATTTTCCCTTTCCCCCACTTATTTCCATGAAAGAGGATATGGAAGATTATTCTAATCCAATAAAATAAACAAGAGCATAAACACTGTAATATTCACTCAGTAATTACTGAGTACCTGTTATATGCAAAACAATGGAGTAAAACTTGTTCTTAAATGTTTACAGTCTTAGCAGTGGAGAGAAACAGTAATCAATCACATGAATAAATAAACAATTTCAAAATGTAGCAAGTGCAATGAGAAAAAGGTTGTTATGGAAACATTCATCAGGAAGACTTGGTAATAAAAAAAGGTAATGCACTTTCAGGGTATCAATGCACAGGGTTCAAAAAAGTAGCTTTTTCAAAATTGGGATACTAAGGCTACCTGTAAATTCGGTGTGATAACTGTTATCTCAGAGTTATTAGCAATGTGCTTTAGAAACCTAGCCCAACCACCGCCACCACCCCGCTCCCTTGGCACCCCACTGGCCTAACTCACAGGGCTCTTGTTATAGGAGACAATCCCCCTCATTGTTTAAGCTCCACTCTCCCCAAAAAGAAAGAAACCTAGCCCAGACTGGAGAAGTCATAGGCTTCCCAGAGGAGATGATAGCTGAGTTGAGAGGTAAAGGCTGAACACACACAAAAAGTTAGCTAAGTGAAGGGGTGAGGGTAAACATTCCAGGCAGACAGAGACATCAAAATACTCCAACAGTCATCTAGTGGATAAGAGAGTATGACCCATTCTCAAATGTTTTCATATGGCCCGTGCAGAAGAGAAACGACAAGGGGTTAGGAGAGAAAGGTATGGAATATGCTGGTTAGATAAGGAGAGATCACATAATGAAAGGCTTTGCAAGCCATCATAGGGAGTCTGCGCTTTGCTTGGAAAATAATGAGAAATCACTGAAGAGTTAAGTAGGGAGAGTGATAAAGATTTGAATTTTTAAAAGATCACATTTTAATGGTCTTACACGTTTAAGGTAAACATTTCCTAGAACAGCTTGAAAAAAAGAAAACTTAATCTATCCCTTTACTCCTTTTGATCGATAAAATTCTGTCACACTTCCACATTAGAGGCAAAAGCTTCCTGCCATGGTAGTAAGGGGTGTGGCTTGAAAACCACAGACCTGGTGTTTTAGATGGAAATGTGTGATTCAGGAAACTTACAATCCCTGGTCAGAAAACTCACTGGTGGAAGAGTCAGGGTTGAAATGATCTTTACTAACACTTTGATTCCAAATAAGCACCGTCGTCCCCCAAATCCCGCCAGGCGTCTCCACGCTACCACTACTCTTGAACGAAAAGCCTAACAGAACCAAATACTCTTTCCACATCTACTAAACGGAGTTATATATTCCAACCTCATATGGCTGCTGTACGGATTAAATGAGAGGCGTCAGAAACAGTACTGGCATAAGTATGCATAAGCATCCATTATAACAAATCAGTGATTAATAGTGTTTCATATTATCAAAAAGACGCTTGTACTGTGCCCAAATCACTATATCGGGAGCACGCAGAAGTACATGGCGGCCAGAAGTAAGAAGACGACCCTCTATTCTGATGGCACAAAAACCCCGCAAACACACCGTCCGTTTTTGAGTCGTGGTATTGCATCTCGCCCTGTGCCTATTTAACTACCTTTCCTCTTCTTGGCAAGTGTTGCTTCGACAGGTAAAGGCCCAACCCAGCGCTCTTCATTATCCTCTTCGTTCTCTTGGGCCACTGCTACTGGCACTGACAACTCTTTTTCTTTGAGTTCCGTTTTCTCCTGTTCCTCCGCGTCCCGATGCCTCCTTCTTCTTAGCTGAGAATCACCACTACCTTCCGCCGCCATGTTGTTCGAATCGTCAGGAAAGGCGCGACACACACAGCTCGACAACCAATCCCAAGGCAGCGGCGCAGTCCTCTCGTCAGCGGCCGAGCGAGTTTCGGGATTGGCCGTGGTGGACCCAATCAGCAAGCAGCGCGCGCACAGGGCCAGGGCCCGGAAGGTCTGTCAACGCAGGGCGGAGGCGATTGGAAGCTTAGGACTCCGTGGTGGTAAGAAATTGGCAGACGAGAGCGCTGTAATGGTTTGCACTCGCCGCCGGGTCTGGCACCTCCCACGGTATGGAGCTGCAGCCCGGACGGTGGGACCCTTACCTCCGGGAGAGGGGGTAGCCGACGTCCAGCTGGGCCTTTAGTCCCACTCTTTGGCTCTAGAACCCCGGGGGGTAGAAGAGACAGAGAAGCGGTGGGGAATTAAAGATCTGGTGACCTCGGCTTCTCTCACGATCTCCAAAAATGTCTCTCCCTTGAGCTTCTTCATTCTGTCTCAAACTCTGAAGAAGCTGGTGAGCGCCTGTTACTATTTGCTGAGACCTAGCCGTTCCAAATAACCCGAGTGGCTCACTCTTTTGCCTCCTCCCTGGTCTGGGCTTCCATTTAGCGGCTTCCTTTAAAAAGAAAAAAAAGAAAGAAAGAAAAGGAAAAACAACAACAACAACAACAAACAAACCACCTAACATAAAATTTGCCACCTTAATCTCTTCTTTTTTAATCCATTAAACACAGCTTGTTCAAATGACCTCCCTAAAACTGCTTTCAAAAACCTACTAAGCAGCCTCCTAGTTGCCTGTTTCAAACCAGGTGAACTTCTTTACTTTTGCTTTGAGGTGCGCCCTAGGTACAGGGAAGGCACTGTCCACAGTAAGTACTTTCTAAAGGTTTTTGTTTGTTTGTTTTTAATTTTAAAGATTCCCTTTATTGGCCCCTCCTACCTAGCAAGTACCATTTCTTCTCCGACTTATGCTTTAATAGATCACTTCTTGTGTGTCTCACAAATTTGCCATGCTCATCCTGGCCTTCCAGTCTTCTGTGGTTATGCCTTGAAAGCATCTCCACAACACAACTAGCTTTCACCTTTACAACTTCTCATCTGTTAGACCTCATGGCAAAAGCAACGAAGATTAAGTCTGATGATGATAACGGTGGGGAGCTAGTACTGGGCACGCAATACTGTACTAAGTCCTTTATTATTCCAGGTCGATTTCTCTGATCTTTTCTTTCCTGAAAGCATTTGCAGTCTGTATTGTGTAAGTTACATAGCACTTCTCACTACCTGATAGGTATTTAGTTGTCCATTTGTTTATATTGTTTCCCCTCAGTGAAAATGTAAGTTCCATAAAGACAGGCTTTTTCACCTGCACAGCTATTTGGCACATTGTCTGACAAATGACACAGATTAAGGACCTATTTGTTGGAGGAATGAATACAGCTTAGAATTCTATGGGTACTTTCTATTACTATACTTCATGTATATTATTCTTTCCCTTTCCAGTAACAGTATGAATTTTTATAATTTGATATTAGATGTTTTAAGTCTGTATGGGATAGTATCCCCAAATATAGCAGTATTGTTCTTCAGTAAAAAAATTGGGAATTGACGTATCAAGGACCTTGAAAGGTTGACTTGTTATATTTCCAGAAAGCTAGGTTTAAGGATACAAAATGTAGGAAAGGGGTAAAGTTAAACCTTAAATGTTTTATTTGTATGTAATGCCACTTAGAGCTGCCAATCCAGCTAATTTGTTGAATATCTATCCCCACATGCACACAGTTTCACATTACTTTTGCATGCTGATAATGGATTTTCTTAATTAGTAGTATACAATGTGGGGAAAGATCACTTTGCGTTTAATTTCTAAGTTAAAGTATATTTAAAACAAATGTTTATATAATTTTTTACTTTTTTGCTTACAAATATTCTAAGATTGTTAATGACCTTTCTATGGCTTTGTGAATTAACTGTATCTTCTGTGTATAGCAAGGAAGAAGTTTAATGTAAATATTTTTGAATATGGCATAAATTAGTTGATGTTCAGATCGTTAATAGTAATGTTGATAACTAATACCGATGCTACCTCTTTATATGATAGCTACAGGTCTAAGAACTTTACATATATTAACTCATTTAATAGTCAAAGAAATCCTCTGGGATAAGTAATATTATCATCTTCATTTTACAGATAAGGAAACTTAGGCGCAGACTAATAAGTGACTTGCCCAAGGTCACACAGCTTGTAAGTATCAAAATCAGGTTTTAACCTAAGGCAATCTGATTGTAGAGGTCACATTTACAATTTTTAAAAAAATAATGCTGCAGTAAGCATACCTATGTAGACTTATGCAAATATATCTATCTGTGGGATTATCCTAGCAAGAGAATTTCCTGGGTCAAAAGATAAATATGTTTAAAATTTTGATGGATATTGTTTATTATCCTACCAAGAAATTGACAGTGCATGCCCCTTGTTCTACCCTCTTGCCAATATTGTTTCTTACCAAATATGTCATTTGTTGCTAGTTCAAATAAGAATTAACTTTAGTTTCCATTTTTATGTTATAAGATTAAAAATAGTTCTTTTTCTAATTATAAGGAATTTCTTAGGTTTTTTTCCTTTGAATTCCCCACTTATGTCCTTGCCCATTTCTATTGTGTTGTTTACCTTTTTATCATAGAGTAAAATACTGATACAAACATCCCACACAAACATAAAGTTTATAAGTTATTATAAGGTGAACAGCTTTATCAACATGCAGATCAAAAATAAAACTTTTAATAATCACCTCAACATTCTCCCCATTTGGCTCATCCCAATCGCAGCCCTCCCTCTGTTTCTACCTTCCAATAGTAATTGATACCCTGACTTTTAGAGTGATCCCTTTTTTAGTTTTTTAAATGAGGGTTGTTAGTTTTTTGTATTATTTTGTAGGCACCCATTATATATAATTAAATTAGGTATGGCATGCCATATATTATAAATATTTTCCTTAGGTGTTTGGGTTTTAAATTTTAACTCTTTAATGATGTCTTTACTCATGCAGAATCTTAAAAATTTTTGTGTGGATATTTTGCTTAGTTTTTAGAAAGGCCTTATCTAAGATTTAAAAAAAAAAACACACCAAAACTCCATGTTTTCTCCCTGTTCTTTTTTATGATTTTGTTTCGATTTTTTTTTTGAGGGATGGATAAGTGATGTAAATAACAAGGTATATATCTAGGCTTATTTTTTTCCCCCAAAATACTATGTAGTTTGTTAAAAAAGAAAGAGGGGGCCTATATGGTCCAAAATACATATAGTGAAGAAACAAGCAGTATAGTATATAAAATATGCTCCTATTTGGGTTATTCTTTCCCCTTAATTTTCATTGCCACCTCTGTCATATAACAGCTCTACAAATGTGTGAGTCTAGACGGGTTTTGTATTTGCTCCATTGTTTAATTTGTCTATCTATGTGTTAATTGCATGCTATTATAATTAGTGTAGTTTTATGATAAGTTTAATATCTGGTAAGGCAAGTCTTCCTGTCTTATTCTTCATGAAGTTCTTGGCTGTGTCTGGCTCTCTGCACTTTCATATAAAGTTTAGAATTAGCTTAACAAGTGCCACAAAAACAAGCAAAAACTTTCAGAATTTTGAAAGATTCAGTAGATCAACTTGGAGGGAATTAACATCTTTACAAAATATTGAGCCCTCCAATCTGCGAATATATCTATTTGTCTTTAAAACCTTTCTGTTCGTGAAAATTTGATTGAGCAATATAAAACTCAAGTTCATACGAATAAAAGTATTTTGGGGGATTGGTTATTCTGGTTTGCACTTGGTGTAATGAGTAAACATCCTCGTCGTTTTTTATTGCTCTGTCACCTTCCTTAAAATTGCCCAACTTTGCATCTCATGCCATCAGACTTTCCACGCACCACTCCTCCTTGTAGCAGCCTAGCAAGATTATATCACACTACTTCGTTCCTTGAAGATTTTCAGCTCCTGGCTCCTTGTCACCCTCTGCAGCACTACTATCATAATTCTTGGTGATTTAATATCCATCTAGGTGATCCTTTCAGTAAGCTGAGCTCTCTTTTTCTTGACATCCTTTCCTCCAGTGATTATATTCTTCACCTTACATTAGCTCTTTACTACTATGGTCATACCTGAGAGACTTTGTCTCTGCATCTGTGCTGCTACACTATAGAGGAAAACATACAACCGTGTTCTAGTTTCACTTTAAGTCTCAAGTGGGCCTTTAATACTATCCAGTAATCCTATTTTATCTTCTCTCATCTCTTACATATCTATTTTATACATTTCTTCCCTTCTGCTCTTAAACCGCCAGTGCTTTTCCTCCATCCTCATTCACAGCTGATAACCTGGGTTACCATTTCACTGAGAAAAGAGAAGTAACCCAAACAAAATTTCTAATTCTACCAAGCTCCTACTAACACATCTACTCACCTACCTGCCTCTGTGCCCCTAATACTCTGCTTATCATCTCATTAAAATGAATGAACTGTATGTACATCTATCTCAAGCCATCCTCTCTACCTGGGTTCTAGATCCCATTTTTCTTCCTTCTTCCCTTTCTCTCTTGCATCACCAATATTTCCTCCTTTTGCTGTATCAAATAGAGATGGTGTAGTTTTTCCCATCTTAAAAAAAAAAAAATCTCTTGATCCCTCCAATTGGTACCTTCTCTTTTCCTTTAGAGAAAAAACAAAAAGTTTTATACAAGTGCACTGGCTATGTATAGTTGCCTGTTTTTTTGTTTTCTCTTGAATCTACTCCAATCAGAATTTCACTCACACCATTCTACTAAAACTATACTCATGAAGATTAACAGTGGCTTGATTTTTATGACACACTTCAGTGAAATATTGTGGCTGATCACCCCAAAAATTAAAGGTGTAAAACAACCATTTACTGTAGTCAGTGATTCTATGCATCAAGAATTCAGATGGGGCTCACAGTCTTCAGAAAACTTGTGTTTTGGTGATGGATGCTAGCTGTTGGCCAGGAACCTCAGTTCACTTCTTTGTGTGCTCCGTAAGGTCTCTTTACTTTGGACTTCCTCACAGCATACTGGTTGGGTTGCAAGGGTGAAATGTTCCGAGGGAGACAGGTGTAAACTAATTTGCCTTCTATGACTTAGTCTTGGCAGTCAGGTAGCATCATTTCCACTGCATTGTATTTATAAAGACTCAAGAAGGTCATACTCAGGTTCATTGGGAGGGTAAACAGGCTCTGCCTCTGGTTGGGGAATGACAACCTGAAATATTGCTGTGACTATTTTTGAAAAATACAATGCCCTATACACATTGCTAAATAAATGGTCAATTAATTCTCTGTTTTTATTTTACTTGACATATATCTAGCATCTGGCAGTTCATCATTCCTTCCTTGAACACTTTCTCATCTTGGATTTCAATATTTCATACTCTTGCCCTGGCCGCTGTGGCTCAGGGGATTGAGTGCCCTACTATGAACCAAAAGGTTGCCAGTTTGATTCCCAGTCTCAGGGTACATGCCTGGGTTGCAGGCCAGGTTCCCAGCTGGGGGCGTGTGAGATGCAACCAATCAATGTTTCTCTCACACAATGATGTTTCTCTCCCTTTCTTTCTCCCTCCCCGCCCTCTAAAAATAAATAAAATCTTAAAAAAAAAAAAAAGATACCACACTCATGATTTTTCTCTCACCTTACTGAGCACTGCATCTCAGACTGTAGGTTGTTCTTCCTTATCTCCTTAATATCTCTAGGTCTAGAACTTTTCTCATTTCTATCTGTACATTTTTGCTCTTCTGATCTCATCCAGCGTTATGGCTTTAAATAGCTGTATGGTGGTGATTCAAATTCTAACTTGAAATTTTCCCTTGAACTTCAGACAGGTATATCCAACTGCCTAATCAACAGCTCCACTAACAGACATTTGAAATTCAATGAATTCTAAAGAGAATCCTTTCTTAAAAATCAAGTTAAGTAATTTAAGTAACAAATAACCTACAAATTTCAGGTGTAGATTATTATTCAATATCTGTATAATATATTGCATGCTTACCTTCTGGAGTCTAGTTTTCTTCTTTTTAACCCTCACCCGAGGATATGTGTATTGATTTTAGAGAGAGAAGGGAGAGAGAGAAAACATTGATGTAAGAGAAACATCAATTGGTTGCCTTTCTCATGTGCCCCGACCAAAATCAAACCTGCAATCTAGCTATGTGCCTTCTGGGGAATTGAACCCTCTACCTTTTGGTGCTCAGGACAATGCTCCAACCGAGCCACCAGGCCAGGGCTAGTTTCCTTCTGTTCCCATATATTTGACACTTTACCCAATTTGCCCTCTCCCCAGCCCCCTTCCCATTTTGTGACCACCATTCTGTTTCTGTATCTATGAGTTTGTTTTTGTTTGCAAAATTGAATTCTTAATCAACACTTGTCCACATCTTGCTGAATTTGTTTTTTTCACCATCTTTCTCACCTATGCAATTCGAATTCAATTGGCAACTTTAATTCCAATTGCATAGGTCCAAACTTTTTTAGTAATAGTTGACTTCTCTATTTCTTTTTAAGGTAACTTATTTATTTATTTTTAGAGACGGGGGAAGGGAGGGAGGAAGAGAGGGAGAGAAACATCAATGTGTGGTTGCTTCTTGTGCACCCTCTACTGGGAACCTGGCCTGCAACCCAGGCATGTGTCCTGACTGGGAATTGAACCGGTGACCCTTTGGTTTGCAGGCCAGCACTCAATCTGCTGAGCCACACCAGCCTGGGACTTCTGTCTTTCACACTTTATATACAGGCTGTTAGGAAATCCTATTGGCTCTAAGGAAAAGGGATTCATGGACTTGGACAACCGTGTGGTGATTCCTGGGGGGGAGGGGAGTATAAAGGGACTAAATGGTATTGGAAAATATACAATAAAGATTAAATTAAAAAAATATTCAGAATTATACCAAATATTCAGAATATTTGGTACTGCCTCAATATTATCCTTGTCCACATATTGCTTGGATTATTGCATTAGCTTTCTAACTGGCTTTCCTGCTTCTGTTCTTACTTGGCTGTAGTTGACCAGAGTTATACTGTAGAACTTAAATCATATCATTGCTCTGTTCAAAACCCCTTAATCACTTATTATCTTAGCCTAAGTCCTTAACACGGCCTAAAGCCCACAGAATCTCATCTGTGTTACCATCTCTCTGACCTTGTGCTCCCTCTTACATTTTCTGCTCTAGTCACAGTGGCTGTTTTACTGCTGTAGGAATAAGGCAGTCATATTCCTGCCCCAAGGCCTTTGTACTTGCATTTCCCTCTACTTGGAACCTCTTCTTCTAAATATCACCATGTCTCACTTCGTATTTCCTTTATGTTTTTGCTCAGTTCTCAACTTTTCAGTGACTTTTTATGACCTCGTGTAAAATTATATTGCCCTTTCCCCCAGCCGTTGCTGTGTTTCTTTCCTGCTTTGCTTTTCTTCATAACACTTATAAATCAATTGATATACTACAGTATGTATTTTTAAAATGGGGCTTATTTTTTGTTTTCCATAACTAGAATGTAGGTGCTATTATAGGAGGGATTTTTACCTGTTTTGGTCACTGTTAAATCTTTAGCTCCTGGGTAAGTATCTGGCAGATAATAGAAGTTCAACAAATATTGTTAAATGAATAAATATTTTTTACTTTAATTTTTTTTTTATAAGGCTAAGAAAATCACAAGGGTCATGTCAGTGAGTAACCAAGATCTAAATCCAGATAGTGCTACAGATGTAGAAGATGTTACAGATGCTAAAGAAGAACTTATTAAACAATGTGAAGAAATGTGGAAAGATTTGGAAGCAGTAAGTATCAAGGGATTAAAGTGATATATCAATTAAGAGTTAATTCCATTTCAATAATAGACTTAGGAAAGAGATAATTCCGCTGATTCCTGAAAGTCATTATATTATATGATAAATATTTATGTATTTTCCAGACCTATAAGCATTCATTCAGTGAACTTTATACTAGTTAAACTGTAGAAAGAAAAAAAATGACTGCAGTCTCTGCCCTCAGAGAGAGTATCATCTAATGGAGGCAATGGCCATTATATTAGAATTACTGTGGTGGAAGTGCAAAGATTTTACTTAGGAGCAGCCCTAAACCTAGACTGAAGGGGTCAAAGATAGCATTCTGAAAGAGGTAATGACTGAATTCATTTCTAAAAGGTAAATGAAAGTGGGAGAGGTATAAAAAGCAGAAGGAAGGAAATATATAAAGGCTGGGAGAGTTTAGAGAACTCCATGTAGCATATTATGACTTGTGTAAGTTAGGAGAAAAAGGACTTACGGAGACTAGAGGGGTAAATTGGGGCCAAGAACATGGTGGATTTTGTTGAGTGTATACTATAGGGAGCCATTGAAGGACTATAAACATTAAGTGACACGATGAGATATGTAATTTGGGGAAATTACTCTGGTGGTTTTGAAGAAAATGAATGCAGAAGAGTGAGACTATAGGTAGACAGAGCATTGAGGAGGCTGCAGAAGTAGTCTTGGTAAGAAGTACTCAAGGGCTAAATCTTGTTATTGCAAATAGAAGAATGGATTCAAGAAATATTAAGGAGGTAGGACCAAAAGGACTTGGTCTTTAATTGTGAAATGGGGAGTTATGGATAATTTCAGGTTCCTGGTTTGGGCCAGTGATTGGTCAGTGGAGCTATTTCCTGAGACAGTAATTGAAGTGTAGAGTACACACAATTATGGAGTTTGAGTGAAAATATGGGTTAATTTAGAAAATGTTTTTGAAATGCAGGCACATTTTTTGAGTTAGTGAAATAGAGTCACTTCTGATAAACTAAATATTTGGTAAAAATTTGTCCTACTTGGAATAGCGTAATGTATGATATAGGCCACAGATATTTTTCACATTCTTTTCCTTCCCATAAAGTTTCAGATAAGGGCAGATTAACATTTTTTCCTAAATTACATTTTAACATAAATCTTGGTACTCTGTATGGTTTGATGTATTTTCAAGATTATTTATATAATCTTTTTTTTTGCTTTTGATATTTTTCAATATAGAAATTTGATTTTTTAAATAATTTCAACTATTTTTTGTAGTAAGTAGTGCATCTGATCATAAATTCATAAGTGGGCAGGTTATAGTGGTAGTCATGCCTGAAACAAAAAGCTTATTAGTAAAAGGTTTAAGGCTCCTTTGCCTTAAGCAAGACCTTTTCATTGTTTCAGTGTATATACATTGATACACCTTTGAAATAACACCCTCAAGAGAACACAAATAAGTGAAATTATATGGTATTTGTCTTTCTCTGACTTATTTCACTTAGCATAATACCCCTCTAGGCCCATGCATGCTGTTACAAATGATAAGATTTCATTCTTTTTTTATGGCCAAGTAATATTCCATTGTATGTATGTAACAAACTTTTTTATCTACTTGTCTTCTGAGGGGCACTTAGGTTGCTTCCATATTTTGGCTATTGTAAATGATGCTATAATGAACATAGGAGTACACATATCTTTTCAAACTAGTGTTTTGGATATATATCCAAAAGTGGAATTGCTGGGGATCAGGGGTCTTAGTGAAAAAGCTGAAGAGATTAAGAAGTGCAAGTTGGTGGTAACAAAATAGTCATCGGATGAAAAATACAGCATAGGGAATAGAGTCAATAATAATGTAATAACTAAGAATGGTGTCAGGTGGGTACTTAAAATATCAGGAAGATTACATGATTTGTATTACATGATTGTCTAACCACTGTGCTATACACCTGAAACTAATATAAAATAGTATTGAATGTCAACTATAATTGAAAAAAAAAGAAAAAATGAGAGTACATAATCTGGTTAACTGTCCTGTAATCCAGTACTCACATTGCTCTCTCCCACCTCCATTTATAAGTACAATCCCTCCTTAATTCAAATGCATAAAAGAAGCTACAAAACTGTCATTTTTTAGAGCATTTGAGATCTTGCTCTGTGGCCTGTGTCATCAGTTTGGCTCAAACTATTATTTAAAAACTCTCAAAAAAATACTGTAAATAGAAATACAGTCAAACCTTGGTTCTTGAACGTCTTTGTCCTCAAAAAATTCAGTTCTTGAACAAGTTGTTCATGAAAAAAGTGTCGCAGCTGTCTAACAAAACTTTGTGTCTTGATTCTCTACCAGACAACCCTTTCTTGCTGTATAATCAGTCTTGCATCTCTCAAGTGACAAAAGAGATTTGGTTTTTGAACAAATCACTTCTTGAACAGTTTTCCGGAATAAATTATGTTTGAGAACCAAGGTTCCAATGTCCACTGTAACCACAAATAAAATTCAAATTACTCATAATTTTATTCAGATATAATCACTAATTATAGTTGTGGATTTTGTTAATGGCACAGAAACAATGTCTCTTGGAGACTTTATTTTCTCATGGTCTGAACTGTCTTCTTGCTTCTCGTTATTTTCCTGTAGCGCTTTCCCTCTTATTTCCCATTTTTCTATTATCTGACTTCTAATTCACTTCATTAGTTTTTGTTCTTTTTTCCTGTTTCTCATACTGATTGTTTTCTATATAGAATCCAGTATACCCTTTTACTTTTGATGGATTCACCTTGGGACCTATTTGCTACCTTCCTTATTTTCTTGCTTATAAAATGAGGAATTGAATAAAAATTGTTCTCTTAAATCCGATACTTGTATATTGTTTTCAAGGAATATTACATTGACAAGTGTAAAAAGGGAGGGAGAGGAAATTTTGGGTTATGACTTGTTTTTCTTTACTTTTTAAATCAAGTGTCAGAATAAATTATCGCTTGTTGGAACCGAGACACTCACTGATTCAAATGCTCAGGTATGAATCCTTTTGTTTCTGTCTAAAAATAAATAAATGGAATTCTTTATGTTTTGGTATGTTTATCTGTCTATATTTATACCAAGTATAATAGTTTTTTTTAATACCTATATGCTTAATCATTCAGAAAATTCTCTACTCTTTCTGATTTAAGAGAAGTATTTTAAGAACTTCTCGAGTGAGCTGTTATAAATAAATAAGAATATTTTACTTTATTAGAGCTACAGATACATTTAACTGTTGAGTCAATTACCCTATGGCTACGGTTATTATGAAAACCTTGTTAAAAACTATAACAAAATCTTACCTACTTTGTATTAAGTACAGAAGCCACAGTTATTTTATTATTTTTGTAGAATCTTACCTGATTTTACCCTAGGCTTAAAAAAGGATTAAGATATCCATTTTAATAATCAAAGACCTATGGAATTGGTTTAGGAATACAACAAAGTGCGCGTACAACAGATTAAAAATTCAAAATACGACAAAGATGATAGATCCAGTATATGGGAAAGAGATGAATTAGTTAATAAATGACACTGAAACAACTAGGTATCCATCTGGGAGAAAATAAAATCTAACCTCCATATTTCGTTATGTAATCAAATTGTAGATGGCTTGTTATAAAAATCTTATAGGAAAAGCAAGGAGACTGCAGTCTAGTGACATGGGAGAAATTCTTGGCTATAAATAAAAATCTAGATATTATAAAAGAATACTTAGATATATTTGATCATATAAAAAGTTAAATATATTTTAGTAATAAAAATTCTAAGAACAAAGTCAAGTAATACAAATGATTCCAATAAAAGTTCTCCAAAACTGGTGGGAGCATGTCAAAAGATCATTGAAAGCACACCAGCTGGTATCCCTTGAGCGTCAAAAGGAATAATGGCTTAAATTCATTATAACAATATGAAAAAATGATAATCTATGAGGATAACAATGCTCAACAGAAGATGAGAGAGAGAGAGAGAGAAAGAAGGAGGAAAAACTAATTTGTCTTTTTTGGAAGTACATGTTTCACCTGATCTTTAATCTAAAAATTGGTGATGAAGAATTAAGTGATCTTGCCCTCGTAGGTGTGGCTCAGTGGATTGAGTGCCGACCTGAGAACCAAAGGGTCGCTGGTTCCATTCCCAATCTAGAGCACGTGCCTGGGTTGCGGGCCGGGTGCCCAGTAGCAGGAGTGCGAGAGGCAACCACACCTGAATGTTTCTCACTCTCTTCTACCCTCTCTAAAAAATAAATAAATAAAGTTTTAAAAAAAAGAATTAAGTCATCTTTTGTAAAAAAAAAAAAAAAAAATGTGTGTCCATCAATAAACATAGAGCTCTGTTGTACAAGATAAAACTGCATGGTGTTATTTGAAAGAGCATTAGTATATATAAACTATTATCTGTTTTCCTTGGGAAATGTGTTCTTACAGTGTAGAAATTGAGACCTACTGAAACAGAATCAGGAGGGGGAAGAATGGGGGAAAAGGAACAGGGAATAAGCAGCATAAATAGTAGGTACAAAATAGGCAGGGGGAGGCTAAGAACAGTATAGGAAATGGAGAAGCCAAAGAACTTTTATGTACAACCTATGGACATGAACTAAGGGCAGAGGAGGGAGGGGATGTTGGGGGATGGGGTGGTATAGGGTGGAGGGGAATAAAGGGGAGAAAAAAATGGGGCAACTCTAATAGCATAATCAATAAAATATATATTAAGAAAAAAAAACAGTCAGTAGGGACTGGGCCTATATATTTCCTAAATGATTTTTATGCAGTGAGCCAAACACTGGCTTTGAGGGTGGTACTTTAGTTGTAAATAATCAGGATCTTAAGATAGTCAATAGTAACATCTAATCAATCCACAGAATGTCTTTTCCTATCATGTTAAGGGTCCCCAAGATTACTTTTGGTTTGATAGTTCTCTAAGAGGACTCACAGGCCTTGGTATATAGTGAACCTAGTGGCTGAGGTTTAGTACATGGAAAGGATGTAGAATAAAATCAATGAAGGGGAAAGGACCATAGGCTGATGTCTAGAGGGAACCAGGCACAAGCTTTCAGGAGTCATCTTCCAGTGGAGTCACACAAACATGCTAATAAATTCCCCATGGTTTGCGGCAAGTATGAAATGTTGTCTACCAGAGAACCTCATTTGAGACTCAATGCCTAAGCTTATTTGTGGGTGCTAGTCACATAGGGATCCTCTGCCTAGCAGTTATCAAAATAGCTGACTCCCAGAAGGAAAGCACGTGTTCTACATAAGTCATATTCTTTGCACAGTTCAGTTATAGTGAGCCACTCTTATCCATTAGGTTGGTAGGAAGGAAGCATTTCAAAATCCAAATTCCCAGATGCCCGCCTTGCAAGCAGACCTTTAAGGGTAATCTTATGACTTGCTTTAACTCTTTTCTGTACACCTATTAAACTTAAAAACTTCAATATTAAAACAATTCATTTTCTAAAGCAAGAATTTAGATATTTTAAATGAGAAAATGGCAGGATTACTCAAATATTTTACTTTAAATAACTTTAGAAATACTACTGTTATATTTTTGTTTTAGAAAGGGTTGTTTAATTTCATAGCAAGATCAGAAATAATTTGAGTATTTTAGCTGGGTTTTGGCAAGATAAGTGCTGTGTTTCATGAATATAGTATGAACTGTATGAAACTGCTTTCTTTTTAAATAGAAAAATGAATATCAATAATTTGTATATTTTAATCTAATATATGAAGGAAACTAATAGAATTCTTTATCATCATGATAAAGTTTTGTCTAGTTTAGATAATGCTTTTAAAGAATTTTATATCCCTTCCTAGTAATAATAAACATTTATAAATTACTTTATAGTTAACAAAAAATTTTTTCAGATTCTTATTTAATTATCTGTAAGAAAATACTGTTGAACTCTCCTTTGGTAAAAATTTAAATACCTGCAAATGCACCTGTATATAAGTATATAAAGTTTTCAAAGAGACTAGTTTTTTGGGGTTTTTTTTAACCTCTATTAACTATTCAACAGGCAGTGTTATAATACAGAGCAGGGTCTTTGAGTTACCTGCTCTGTATAATAAAAATCAGTTTAAAAAGGCAATAGTTGCTGTTCTTTTAGTGTAAACATTATAGTAATACTGCATTTTTGAAATGTGATTTTTTTATGTTTGGCTACTAATAAGAATTACATAGAGGAGATAAAAAATGTGCTGAAATTTAAACATGCATAGGCTTTAATTTTGTGGTCTAATCTGGCAACAGATTTATCACATAGATTTGTAATTATCAAAGTTACAGTGATTGGAACGACCTAATATCAGAAACATATTCACCCTAATTCATCTTTGCTAAAGAGGTATACAGTTTGAAAACTGTCATGTAGTAAAACGTTATCTGGTTTTTATGTGTGGCTGGTGGAACCAGCCTTATTTTGTAATTGTCGCTATATATGTATTTTAAATTATTTTTTACTACTCAGCTGAAAACAGTTGCAATTTTTCTGAAAGTGCATAGAGAGGAAAAACAGCATTTTTAATGCAAATTTGTATTAAAAATGTTGGCAAGAAGTAACTTTTTTTTTATAATCCTCACTTGAGGATATATTTATTGATTTTTAGAGAGAGAAAGAGAAAGAGAGAGAGACATCAATGTGAGAGAGAAACATCAGTCAGTTGCCTCCTATATGTGCCTGGACTGAGGATTGAACCTGCAGCCTTTTGGTGTACAGGGTGATGCTCCAACCGACTGAGCCACCCAGCCAAGGCTACATTATTTTTTTAATGAAATATTAATTTAGGGAATGTACTCCCTAAATTAACTTAATGTACTTAGGTTCTTTTATTTTATGTTAATTGGTGAAGTAGAATTTATCATTTTTTAATACTGTATCACTGGTACAACTGGCAATTTATGAACTATACTTGGTGTGGTTTAAAGCAGAATTCTGTTTGGAGTGATAACTTTTTATAGCTTAGGTGACTATATTAGCCATTTATGTTAAGACTTTGTATTAAAATATAAAGAATGTCTACATATTCATCTATGAGTAGCTATGAATATTCTACAAGAAATGATTTTGTTTTATTCTCTTGTTCTTTTTATTATAGCTGTCATTATTAATTATGCAAGTGAAATGTTTAACTGCTGAACTCAGTCAATGGCAGAAAGAAACTCCTGAAAGTAAGATTCTTATTTTTAGGTTTGTGTTTTTGTAAACAAAGTAACAGCAAATTAATTTAATGATCACAAGAAGAACTACAAGATCCATCTAGCCTTCTTGAAATTGCCTAAATTGCATTGATTATTAAGAATTCATCTTATTTTTGCCCTGGCTGGTGTGGCTTAGTGGACTGAGTGCCGACCTACAAACCAAAGTCACTAGTTCAACCCCCAATCGGAATATGCTTGGGTTGCAGGCCAGGCCCCCCAGTTGGGGCCGTGCAAGGGCAACCACACACTGATGTTTCTTTCCCTCTCTTTCTCCCTCCCTTCCCTTCTCTCCAAAAATAAATAAACAACTTTAAGAAAGAAAGAATTCATCTTATTTTTCTTTCTTCATGTACATTATTTTGTGCTTATTTTACTGTTATAGATGAACATGTCTGTCTCATAATAACCTTAATTATGGAGATATTATAGCCACATTTCATCCTCTAGACACTGTCTTAGTAGAAACTGTAATTTGTTTCTTAATGAATGAAACTTACGTAGTGGAAAAGTGTTTTAGAAACTGATTTACATATGGGAAACACAGATTATATATTGCCTTTTGACTTATCAGGCTAAGACCAACTTTATTTTTGCCGTTAGTTGAGAAATAGAAGATTGCTTAAAAATCTGTAGTTATAATCCCCAGCTAGGAAATTTTTTTTATTATAGAAGCCTGCGTTTCTCTATGCTGTATATGCCTGTATATGGTATTCTGTATGTATTGCATCCTCTTTCTCCATATATGTCTCCCGCTTTCTGTTGATTCTGTCTCCTTTCCTTTAGCTCCCCCCATTTTCCTTAGTCTCCTTTGTAAGCTTATCATTCTCTTCCCTAGTTGTTGGGAGTCTTTTCTACATTCTCTTCCCAATTTCATATGTATTCTTGGTTGTAATCACCATATCCATGCCAATGATTACCATTGTTCCACATTCTCGCTACCACATAGTAGTCTTTTTAATTTTAGCACTTTTGGTAGGCTATATACAATTGTGATTTTATTTGCATCCAGCTATATATCCTTTTGCTTTCTGAACATTATGTTGAGCATCTCAAAAGCTGCTCATGCTCTGCTCTTAATATGTTGGTGTTTTCCAGAGGACTGTGCTCACTTCTTACTCTTTGTCACTTCTTACTCTAAATGCTATTCCAGCATTATATTTTCTGCTTCTGTTTTTATGTATTATATCCATATTAATGACTTCTGTATTAGGTTGCTAGGACTACTATCTCAAAGTACCATGAACCGGGTCATTTTTTATTTTGTTTTGTTTTGCCCTTTTTAACAACTTTATTTTCTCACAACTCTGGGGTCCATAAAGTCCAAGATCAAGGTGTTATTTTCTTCTGAGGTCTCTCTTTTTGGGTTGCAGATTTTCATCTTCAATCTGTATCTTAACATGGTCACCTGTCTATTTCTTAATCTCTTTGTATACGATCTCATTTTAACCTAATTGTCTTTTTAAAGATCCAATTTCAAACACAGTCACATTCTGAGGTACTGAGGATTAGGACTTGAGCATTTGACCTGGGCAGGAGGAGTGGTGACACAATTTCCATAGCAATTTCCAGAACTATATACCCAAACCAAATTTCACTGTAATGTCACACTTACATCTCTCTCTAGCTTCTAGACAGCTTTTCCAAAATATTTTGTAGGTACCTCAAATTCATGAACTGGTCTTCATTTCCTGACCCATTGAATGGCCTCTATTTGATCTGTAATAAATTTGAGTACTTCTAAATTCTTTTATATTTCACATACAGCCAGTTATAAAATATTGAACTCTATTTCCACAGACTGCTTTAGGCCTTCATTCCTAATCCCTTCATTTATTATAATAGGCTTTTTACTTTTCAATCGAGATTTTTTTTTTTCAATTAATTGTGGAAATTTTCAAATTTAAAGGAAAGTTAAAGGTCCAACTTTATTCTTTTACATGTGTATTATCTAGTTTTCTAATAACATTTGTTGAGGAAACTCTCCCTTTCCTCATTATCTTAGCACCCTTCTCAAAAATCATTTGACCATATAGTGAGGATTGAGTGCTCAGCACTCTATTCTGCTCTATTCTGTTGGTCTCTATTTCTTCTCCATGCCAGCGGCATAGTTTTGATTACTGTAGCTTTGTAGATGAAAATTAGGATGTGTAAAACCTCTAACTCTGTTCTTTTTTAAGGTTGTGTTGGCCATATGAGATATTCCATGTGAATTTTAGGATGGATTTTTCTATTTCTACAAAAAGGACATCATTGGGATTTCGATAAGGATCAGATTAAACCAGCAGATTGATTTGGGTAGTGTTGACATCCTAGCAATATAACGTCTTCCAATCCTTGAACATTGAATGTGTTTCTATTTCTTGGGATCTTTAATTTCTTTTAGAAACACTTTGTAATTTTTAGTGTAGAAGTTTTTTCCTTTCTAGGTAAATTTATTCCTAAGTATTTTATTCTTTTTAATGCTATGTATCAGGAAATTTTTAATCTTTATTTTTCTTATCATCACCCCTGATATATATACACCTGGTACTGATAACACTGAACACATAGGCTGACCTGTTGGTCAGATACTCACCTTGCTTAGGGTTATTGTTTAATAGGCTGCCACACTGAAAGGATTTTTAAAATCTTTGTACCCTGACTAGTGTGGCTCAGTGAGTTGAGCGTCATCCTGCAAACCGAGGGGTCGCCTGTTTGGTTCCCAGTCAGGGCACATGCCTGGATTGAAGGCGAGGTCCCTAGTTGGGGCATGTGGGAGGCAGCTGGTCGATGTTTCTCTCCCTTTCTGTTTTTCCCCCTTCCCCTCTCTGTAAAAATGGGTAAATAAAATCTTTAAAAATAATAAATAAAATAAAATTTAAAAATCTTTGTATTCTTAGAGGTTGCCATGTTGTATTGGTTGAAATGATTGTTTGAATGAATATTGAAATGCTAACCTTGGCCACATTAAGAATCAGATTTCGAAACTTTTTGTACTTAGACTCCTCATTGCATTTATTGAAATGATTTAGTATATGCAGTTGCTGCCTCTATCAGTTCTAATACAGAGCCTATAAAACACACAAGAAACTCTTGATTGTTAGGTGACCCTCTAGGATGACAGATAACTAAGGAAGTTTTCAGTTGCATATCATTTGAGAAATTTTAAATAGCACTTTCTTAAGAAAGGCAATTTTAAGTACAAAGGTTGAACTAAGTATAAGGATTTATTTTTGCTAACAAAATTTAAATGAAATATTACTTTATCCTCATCAGACTGACAAAAATTTTAAACAAGTTTATAATGTCATTTGCTCTTTTTCATTCATTGCTCATAGAAATTTTTAGAAAAGAATCTGGCATACTGTATTAAAATTCAAAATATACATTGTATGTGAAATTCCTTGTCTGGAAATCTTTCCCACAGAAATGAAAACACCAATACAGAAACATAAATGAAAGAATGCTTACTGCATCATTGGTTTATTTTTTTTTCCTTGTGTGCATAAAAACTAGGTGCAATATTAATGCTCAGTTAATAGCAAACTCACTCAATACATTATGGTATACTCACCCTATGGAATATTGTGCAGCAATTTATTATTTTTTTTAAAGACTGTATTTATTTACTTATTTAGAGAGAGGGGATGGGAAGGAGAAAGAGAAATAAAGAAACATCAGTGTGCAAGAGACATCGATAGGTTGCCTCTCACATGTTCCCCCTGGCCTGCAACCCAGGCATATACCCTGACTGGGAATTGAACCCATGACCTTTCAGTTTGCAGGCCAGCTTTCAGTCCACTAATCTACACCATCCAGAGTTTGTGCAGCAATTTAAAACTATGAATTATATTTACACTAGAAAAATGGGGGTTTTGCTGAGTGAAAATGAAATATAATGTGTATGATATGATTCCATCTTGTAAAACCAGCAATGACAAAATTAATCCTTTCATGTACAAATGTGTATATATACATATATGTTATATAGGAATAGGATCATGTGGTTACAGAAGAAATACACTAGAGGTTATTAGTTTTGATTTTGAAGGATAGGGAAACAAAATAAAAGAAAAAGGCATTAAAAAACAATGCATATTACACCTGTATTAAATAATATATAAGTTGGTTATATATTGTATATAATGATGTCAAAAATAATTTCATAAACTGCACATATTTCATAAAAATGTTCTGTTAACATTAAGTGGAAAGGGAAAGGGGTATCTGAGAAACCACAGAATCAAATTCTTGACTTTTGAGAGTTAACTAAGCATATGTGTAATTTTTTTTTTTTCTGTAGTACTTTCACTGAGTGAAGAATTTCTGGTATCATTAGGAAAAGAAGAGGTAAGTCATTTAATGATTTGTAGAACCCCAAATAATTTATAAGTATTTTATATAAGTTCATGACATAAGAAATAGGAAGAATCCACTTTAAAGCCATATTAATTTTCTAATTTGTTTTTAATTATGTTTTATTGAACTGAATTTTTTTTGGACCTTTGGTTTTTCTTACTATTATTTGTAAATAATTTTTTATTGTTTAATTACAGTTGACATACAATATCATGTTAGTTTCTGGTGTACAACCTGGTGATTAGACATTTATATAATTTACAAAGTTATCACCCCAATGATTCTAGTACACATTTGGCACCATACATAGTTATTACAGTATTGACTGTATTTCCTATGCTGTAGTTTACATTACCATGATTATTTTGTAACTACCAATTTATGCTTCTTAATCCCTTTCCCTTTTCGCTCAGCCCCCAACCCCCCTCACCTCCAACCCCCGTCACATCTGGCAACTGAAAAAAATACTCTATCTATGAGTCTGTTTCAGTTCTGTTTGTTTATTTTCTTCTTTAGATTCTGCATGTAAATGAGATCATATGGTTTGTTATCTCTGACTTATTTCACTCAAGTCTGTAGTGTCACTTCAGACTTGACAAGTCCTGACTTCAAGTCCTGAAGTGTATGGACACTTCAGTGTCCTGAAATTAGGAATTTCAGGGTGTCACTAATGGTAGGATTTCATTCCTTTTTAGGGCCAAGTAATACCCCATTGTATATGTGTGCCACTTCTTTATTCATTTGTCTATTAATAGGTATTTAGGTTGCTTCCATAGAATGGCTATTGTAAATAATGTGGCAATAAGCATGTGAATGCATATGTCTTTTCAAATTAGTGTTTTGGGTTTCTTTGGATAAATACCCCAAAGTGGAATTCCTGGATCCTTCTTTGTCTCTTGTTATAGTGTTTGTTTTCAGGTCTTTTTTGTCTGATACAAGTATTTCTACCCTAGTGTTTTTTCTTTACATTTTCATGAAGTTTTTTTTTATCCCATTACTTGTAATCTTTGAGTGTCTTTTGACCTGAAGTCTTTTGTTTTCTTAACCATTCAGCCATCCTAAGTCTTGATTGGAGCATTTAGTCCATTTGTATTTAAAGTAATTGTTGATAGATATGCATTTATTGCCATATTATTCATATTTCTATCCTTTTTTTTCTTCTTAAAAAAGACCTTTAACATTTCTCATAGTACTGGTTAGGTGGTAATGACTCTTTTAGATTTTTCTTCTCAGGGAAATCTCTTTATATGTCCTTCCATTCTAAATGAGAGCCTTTCTGGGAAAAATAATCTTGGTTATATGTCCCTGCTTTTCATCATTTTGAATATTTTGTGCTACCCTCTTCTGGCCTATGAAGTTTCTGTTGAGAAATCAGTCTTATGGGATCTCCGAAGTAGGTAACTATCTGCTTTTCTCTTGATGCTTTTGAAAGTCTCTCTTTGTTTTTAACCCTTGGTGTTTTTATGATGTTCCATCATAAAAAGGGTTAGTTCGGGCCTCTTTGAGTTCACCTTGTTTAGGACTCTCTGTGCTCCCTAGACTTGTTTGTCTATTTCCTTCATCAGGTTAGGAATGTTTCCAGTCATTTTTTCAAGTAGGTTTTCAATTCCTTCCTTATATTCTTCTCCTTTCAACATTCCCATGATGTGAATGTTTGCATGCTTGATGTTTTCCCAGTGGCCCATTAAATTGCTCTCATTTTTTAAAATTCATTTTTCTTTTCCTTTTGAAATTGTATTTTTTCTGCTACCTTATATTCCAAATTACTGATTTGATCCTCTGCTTCATCTAATCTACTGTTGATTCCTTCTAGTGTATTCTTCATTTCAGTTATTGCAGTTCTCATTTCTGATTAGTTCTTTATGTTTTCTGCATTTTTATGTTTCCTACCACTTTGTTGAAGTTCTCACTGAGTTGATCTATTCTTCCCCTAAATTCACTGAACATCCTTATAACCAGTGTTTTGAGGTCAGCATCTAGTAGATTGCTTGAGGTCTCCATTTTGTTTAGTTGTTTTTCTGGAGTTTTGTCCTGTCTTTTCATTTGGAACATGATTCTTTGTTTCCTCATATTGGCCCCTCCCTGTGTTTCTATGTATTAGGTAGAGCTGCTATGTCTCCTGGGCTTGGTAGAGTGACTGTAAATAGTAGGTGTCCTGTGGGACTCAGTAGTGTAGCCTCCCTTTCACCCAAGTGGGGCATTCTAGGTATACCCCCCATATGGACTATGTGCATCCTTCTGTTATAGTTGAGCTTTAACTGCTATCTGCGTGTAGAAGGGACTGAACATCCCCCTGCCGCGGCCAGTGGGCTGCAAGGACCAGCTGTGACTACAGCAGGGGAGCTGGTGGTCAAGGACCAACCTCATAGAACAAGACTTGCTTCAACAGGGCTCTGCTGTTCACCAAGTCCACCAGTTTGTCACTTATGGAGGAGATTGGGTGTTGGCTCTGGCTTGGTCTGAAGCAGTGCACTGGATGTCCTAATTCTGGGGCCTCTGGGGAGGTTTAGACCAAGGTGAGCCGCTTCCTGTGCCCTGCCCTGGGCCACCAGGCATGAGTTACAAAGTGATCTGCAGATGATTGCCACTTGTGCTGTGCTTGGAGGGACCCAGGACAGGCTAAGCTGAGAACTGAGGTTGGTTGTTGCTAGTGCCAGCCTTGGGACTGCTTGCAAAGAAGTACAGGGTACACAGAGGCCAGATGCTGCTTGTTTGGGACTTGTGGATCTTAGAGAGATTTTAGGAGAGTCTGCAGTGTAAGCCTAGACAGGCCAGTGGAAGCAGCTTGGGTGGGACCAAAAGTTTAGTGAGGCAGGGTCACAGGGAATCACAAAGGTAGGGTGAACTGTTTTAGCCAGGGTGATGGAGTCGCAGACATGCACCCCTGGACTTAATCATACTTGATCATGATATATTATTTTTTAATCTGTTGTTATATTCAATTTGCTAGTATTCTGTTTAGGATTTTTACATCTGAGATATTGGTCTATATTTGTGTGTGTGTGTTATCCTTGCCAGATTTTGGTATCAGGGTTATGTTGACCTCATAAAATGTGTTAGGAAGTATTTCTCCTTTTTCAATTTTTCAGAATAGTTTGAGAAGGTTAGGTTACAAATCTTCTTTGAATGTTTGTTAGAATTTACTAGTGAAGCCACCTGGTCCTGGATTTTTACTTATTGGGAGGTTTTGGATGGTTTTTTGAATTTCCTGTTGATTAGTGATTTTTGATTTTCCAGTTCTTCACAATTGAGTCTGGGAAAGTTAAATGTTCGTAGGAACTTACCCGTTTCTTCTAGGTTATTGAATTTGGTAGCATACAGTCTTTCATAGTATTCTTGTAGGATCCTTTGTATTTATGTGATGTCTGTGATAACTTCTCATTCATTTCTGAATTTATTTGCATCTTTTCTCTTTTTTTCCTTAATGAGTTTAGTCAGGTTTGTCAAGTTTATTAATTTTTTCAGTGAACCAACTCTGTATTGTTAGTTATATGTAAAATCTTTTTGTTCTCTATTTCATTTACCTCTGTTCTTTTATTATTTCCTTCTGCTGACTTTGGGTTGCTTTTGTTCTTCTTTTTCTAGGTTTTTAAGATATAATGTTAGGTTGTATACTTAGGATTTTTCTTTTTTCTCAAGAGAGGCATGTAATGGTATAAACTTCCCTCTTATTACTACCTCCACTGAATCCCAAAAGTTTTGGTATGTTGTATTGTCATTCTCATATGTCTCTTGATTTCACCTTTTACTTCTTTTTTGACTCAGTCATTTTTTAGTAGCATGTTTAATCTCCACGTATTTGTGGGGTTTTTTTTTTTTTTTTTGCTTTTTTGAATTTGATTTCTAATTTCAAAGCATTAGAGTTGGAGAATATGCTTGGTATGATATCAGTCTTAAATTAGTTGAGGCTTATTTTGTGTCCTAACATACGGTCTATCCTTGAGAATATTCCATGTGCACTAGAGAATAATCTACAATCTGGTGTTCTCAGGTAAAGGGCTCAGTAAATGCCAATTACATACCTTTGGTCTAACGTGTTCAATGAAGGCTGATATTTCTTTACAGATTTTCTGTTGGGATGATCTTTCTATAGCTGTCAATGGGATATGTATGTAGATCCCCTACTCTGTATGTTTTGTTTTGTTGTTTGTTTTTTGTTTTTCAGTTTCTCCCTTTCGTTCTGTTAGTAGTTGCTTTATATATTTCAGTACTCCCTGACTGGGTGTGTATATATTGAGAAACGTTATGTCTTCTTGATGTACTGTCTCCTTTATCATTTTAAAATTTCCATCCTTATCTTTTATTACCTTTTTTTATCTTGAAATCTATTTTGTCAGAAGTATGACTGTATCTGCTTTTCTGCGGATGCCATTTTCTTGGAGAATCATTTTATACCCTTTCATTTTGAGTCTATATTTGTCTTTGCAGCTTAGATGTGTCTCCTGAAGACAGCATATGGTTGGGTTTTGTTTTTTTTTAATTCAGTCTGCCACCCTGTGCCTTCTTATTGGTGGATTCAGTCCATTTACATTCAGGGTAATCGTAGATGTATGAGGATTTTCTATAGTCATTTTTTTTGGTTATTTTCCTTTGTGTTTCTATCAGTTGTTTTTTGTTTAGTGGTATCCATACTTCTTTCCTCTCTTTCTCCTTTTTTTAAACTTGATATGGGTTTTTTTGGGTATGGTTACCATTAGGTTTTTGCAAAAGAAAGTTTCATATGTATAGTAGTCCTTTTTCTTCTGAATGCATCTAAACGTCATTCCTCTTTGCAAATTCAGACCTTTACCTACTCCCTTTTTATGTTTTTGTTGTTGCAAATTATCCCTATTTATGCTGTGAATTTATTTCTGAATTGCAGCTATTGTTTCCTTCCTGTTTTTTTAAAGATTTTATTTATTTTTAGAGAGAGGGGAAAAGAGAAAGAGAGGGGGAGAAACGTTAATGTGTGAGAGATACATTGATTGGTTGCCTCTCACACGCCTCCAAGT